TATACATATACATATACATATACATATACATATACATATACATATACATATACATATACATATACATATACATATACATATACATATACATATACATATACATATACATATACATATACATATACATATACATATACATATACACATACATATACATATACATATACATATACATATACATATACATATACATATACATATACATATACATATACATATACATACATATACAATATCGTTCTCGTTCTCTCTATCTCTTCTACCTCTCTCTCTTTTTCTCTCTCTCTCTTTCTCTATCTCTCTGTATCTCTCTCTTTCTTTTTCTGTCTATATATGTATATAAAGTGTCATACATATATATGTATGCCGCCTGCTGATCAGGCATCATCAGTTATTTTCAGCCATCCAACGAGGGGGACGCCTCTTTCTCTTTGCATATGGGCGTGACTCTCACTTGGCCAGAAACTCAACGGCGAGTGCCATTTTCTTGGCTGGCGGCATTTCGGCAGTGTTCTACAAGGAAAACCAAAAAGGTGACGAGAAGAGGGAAAATTGATTAATTACATATATACAACCATAAGATGGGGAAAGCGAGTAAACTGCAGCGAGTCAACTAGAGCGAGTCCTCAGAGTAGCTTCGCCTAACGACTCGGCCCCTTTGCTTGTCGCCCATTGGCAACGAGCAACGAGTTGTTGCTTTGTTTTTGTTTTTGTTTTCTCTTTTCACATACCAATTCGGAATTGTCACGCTTTGCGGCTGAAACGTGACTTGACTTGAGCGTTAGGGGCGAGTCCTGGCTGTCGGCCGATTCGTTGTGATTGTTGTTAGTCGCTGTTTTGGCGGGCGCGGCGCTGCTGCTGCTGCTGTTGTTGTTGTTGTTGTTGTTATTGTTGCTGCTGCTGTTGCTGGACAGCGTTGAGGTGGATACAGAATTGGCAACTATTTGAACTGCATCGCTGCTCGAGGAGTTGGTCGCCGTATCCGATTCGTCGACAATTGTTATAGTGGGCGTGGCTTTACTAACAGCAGCAGCCGCAGCAGTTGCTGCGCCAGTTACTGCAGCAACTGTTGCTGCTGCGCCAGATGCAGCTGAGGCAGCAACTGTTGCTGCTGCTGCTGCTGCCGAGCTGCCGTCAGTGCTCAAGTCCGACTTCTTCTTGGCAATCTCATCTTTTTTATCCTCGCCCGCCTCACTGGAGGAGCTGGCAACAGTTGCTGCCGCTGCTGCTGCTGCTGCTGCTGCTGCTGCTGTTGGTGGAGTAGCTCCTGTCGCTGATGCAGCTGCTGCTGCTGCTGCTGCTGCCTCAGAGCCTTGCTCCTCGAGCAATGCCTCCTCCGCCTTGGCTTCATATTCCTTAACGATCTCGTCTAGATTATAGCGTCGTCGATTGTTTAAGTAGTAGGTGCGCACATGCGCCTCCGTCTTGGTGCCAACCACCTTGGCGATCATCTGCATGGAGAAGGTCCCCAATGAGCTACTCCATCTCTACTGCCATCTCGGCCCATTCACTCACCTGAAAGTTCTTGCCATAGTCGCGCAGGGCGAGCAAAACTACCTTGTTCTCATCACTTGTCCAACGTGGTGAAATGCGCGTTGGCTGAGCATTGGCTGCTGCGGCGGCTGCGGCTGCGGCAGCTGCTGCTGTTGGCGCTGGTGTTGCCGCCGCTGTTGCTGTGCCTGGGGAAGTCGACGTCGTCGTCGTCGTTGTTGTCGTCTCTCCTGCAGCAACTGCAGCTGCTCCTGCCCCGGCGGCTCCGGCTGCTCCTGGCAAGGCTTTGGCTGCATTGCTGCCGGCCTCATCCATCTGCTGGCCATCGTTGCAGTCCTTTTCCAGCTGCTCCAATAGTTGCCTATTCTTTTGTATCTGTAAAATGGGCCATGGGGCATTAAATCCAAAAGTTCGGGAAGATAGAGAGAACGAGAGCGCGAGAGGGTTGCGGGATGAGGGGGAAACGTATGTCAAGTCTGTGTAGATTGTAAATACGATCCGTTCAAAGTCCATTCTGTCTATGTATGCGTGTGCGTATGTTCGATACGACCTGCAACTGTGTGTGCGTGTGTGTGTGTGTACGATATGTACGATATGTATAAATGATATGATATGCGTATACGATACGATACGATACGATACGATACGATATGCAGGCTGCAGATATATTGTATATATTTCTATGTGTTTGTGTGTGTGCGCGTGTGTGTGAATAAACGGCATAATGAACTACTGTAATCCAACTATGGATGCTTTAGATACCCTAGAAATATATACACGATTAGGTATTCAGCTTGAGAGTTGTAGGACGAGCTACTAACTCTAAGCTAGAATACCCTAGATAGACTTTTTGAAGTGTTACTTCACTGAGCTGTTGGCGATTTTCTAATTTCTTGAACACCCTGCACAAGTCCTTTACCAACATTCCAGCTCGATTGGAAATCAGAAAACATGAGCTGGAACGTCCTCAAAAGCTTCAGCTGGATCTTGATTCGTAGCTTGTGCATTCAGTTTGATAGGACTGAAATGTATATTTACGATATATTATACAAGTGATATACATATATGACTGGAATACACATCCAGTTCTATGTAACTGGAACGTAAGAAAAGCTGCATCGGTTCTTCAAAGTTGACATTCTATATAACTGGAACGTAAGAAAAGCTGCATTGGTTCTTCAATGTTTACATTCCAGTCCAAGCTTCTTGCATTGCAGTTACTGCATATTCATCCTAACGTTATCTAACAGGGGCTTCGAATGGGAACTGCATCCATGTTCTCCAGTCCGCAAAGCTTCTACATTCCAAAGTACGAAAGTTGATTTTGATGCTGATGTGGATGAATGAATACTTAAAGTTTCTTACTTCGGCCATGAGGGCGGCTATTTTGCGATCGCCTTCGGCTAGATATTCGCACGGATTTTTGCAGCTGGCCAGGGCGGTGAGATCGTCGTGATTGATATACATGCCACGCGGCGGTTTCCGCTTGGAACGATCCGCCGCAGCGGCAGTGTTGTTGTTGTTGTTGTTGTTATTATTGTTGTTGGCATTGTTATTATTATTGTTCGTATTATTAGTATTGCTATTGCTGTTGTTGTTGTTGTTGTGTGCGGAACGTTTGGAGGACACGACGCTATCCGGACCAGAGATCGGGCGTCGATTCCCAGTGCGTCTATCGCACGAGCAAAACAACAGCAACAAAATATCGAATTCAAAATGGAAAGAGACGGGGAAAAGGCAAAACAAGCACAACATCAAACATGAATGAACGAAGGATTGAGTGAGTGTATGTATGAGTATGTGTATGTGTGTGAGTGTGAGTGTGAGTGTGCGTGTGTATGGGCGAATGTGTATGTGTGTGTGTGTGTGTAGGTCAGCAAGTTATGCAACATTCAGTTTTTGTACGAGTTCAAAGAGCGTAAGAATGGAAAAGAGAGAAAAAGAGAGAGAGAGAGAGAGAGAGAGAGAGAGAGAAAACTTAGCATTAGCTTCGATTTGTACAACATAATTTAGCTAAAGTTGATTTTTTTTTTTTGTTTTTTTTTTTTATGGGAATATCTACCTCCAGTGCGTGTGACAACTTTTGCACATGCGACCCAATGGCGAATCGAACAATATGTAGCAGACAACGTTGCAATTTTTGCAAAAACCGCCCACAACGACGCGCCGGCCGCTGCCGTTGCTGTTGCCAGTGTTGCCAGCATTGTGATTGTTGATATCGTTATCAAACTCGATGCCATTATCGATGGTCAGACCAAAGCCGGGCAGGCTAAAGCCGAGCATATCATCGCTCAAGGCATTCGTATAGATGCACAGCTGCTCGGCATCCAGTTCAATGCTGTTGTTGTTATTGCCRTTGCTGCCGCTGCCCGCGCCAACGCCACTGCCGCTGCTGCTTCCGCCGCCATTGTTATTTCCGTTATCCCCAGATGCATTGCTGCTGTTGTTGTTGGCACTTCCATTGCTGCCTGGCAATCCGCCATTATTGTTATGGGCCTTCTGCCGTTCGTTTTCGTTGTTGTCGTTTTTTTTTTTTACGTTTTTTT